CCTACAGCGACCTTGCCTATGACCACGACCACGACCAGTAGCTCCACCTCTAACCATCTGCACCACAACAGAAGGCTAAGAACACAAGAGCAAAAACAACAAAAACAAACAACCTACCGTCAAAACTCATTGAAGGCTCGAGAGAATGCTCTAGGTCTCCATGCCCACGCAATTGATTAAACACATACAATTAACCAGGCATGCAATTCACATCATCATTTCTCATCAACAAAATTAAATTTCAATCACCCATTTAACCAAGCCTTAGAATCGTAAGGGCTCTGATACCAAAACTGAAAAGACCTAGCCCGTTTTTTTTGCTTAACACATGCAAACCGGATTAACCCAAACCAGCTAATCCGGACTAAATCAATTTAACCATTAAATTCTAATTAAACCGATTAACCAACAATTATCAATTCATCCAAAACCACATAACAACAACAAACGGAAAACTTAACCGATAATCCAAATAAAACAAATGCATTAAACCAAAAGGCAATCCATTATCTAAAACAGTCATCATCCAGAAATAGAAAAGCATCCTAACATGTTTCTACCTTCCAGACTAACAATCTAACAATCCAATACCATAAAATCACGACACAACCATCGAGCCCTAGATCATTCTTCTATCCTCGCCATGATTCCACGGTCACACCTTTCTTTTACCTGCATCATGAAAGGAGATGCATAAGTAATTCATAAATACTTAGCGAGGCATCATCCCAACTACTGGGTTATACACACAAGCAACATGATTGACATTTCAGAAATAACCAAATAATACCACAGAAAACTCCAAAATGACGAGTAGTGTCGATCGACACCCACCACTGGTGTCGATCGACATCCACCACTGGTGTCGATCGACAATCGCGACTATCCGCGCGATACAGAAGATTGGTGTCGATCGACACCGAAACCCTAACATCACTCCAGTCACTTCTCATCGACGAATCCTCACTCTTTTACACTATAGGGCCAATTCAAACCAGCATAAGGCTCGTCCAGATGCACCACAACACAGAAAAGTATAAAAACAATTAAAACCATGCAACAATCGAAGAAATCACCTAAAACATGAATTAACTGCTTATAATCCTTGGTTTGCACTCACCTTTGAAATGGACTGAACAGTGACGAAAAATACACAACAACAACAAAACACCCTCCTTACATCACATCTACGAGATTACTCTACTCTAGCCTAGAATCACCAAGAATCAGCCTCAAATCACACTAGGAACACCCCAAACTTCACTCAAGCACTTAGAAAAACTCTTTGGAACGTTTATAACAACAAAAACTGGCTGACAAGAGAACAAGGGTCGACTTTTTTCTTTTAAAAATGCAACCTAGGGTTAAACCAACCCAAACCAATCAATTTTGCGATAAAAATCAACCCGGTCCGACCAACAAATTGTAGTGTCGATCGACACCCACAACCAGTGTCGATCGACACCTAATTAAAATCACTGGTGTTACAGGTTTGAAATTCAAATTAGTTATAAGGACATGTCTATTATAGCACATGTAATAGTGCAATGTATGAATTCAAGATAGTATAATTGTGCAGGTATGAAAGTATACTCATAGCAAGAAGTAGGTTTCTCTATGATAACTTGTTGGGAAAGTAGGTCATAGTGCTATTTTCAAATTATAATTAGATTATTTTTAAGTTATTTTATTAATATTCATAATTATTTGAAAATATTAACACTTAAAGTCTTTATTATTTTATTAGATTTCAAATATTTACATTTATCAGTAAATTCCGTAGATACCATTCAAAATGTACAAATTCAGCTAAAAATCACTAAAAAAAATCAGCAAAATTCAGCAATTCAGCAAAAATTATTTGTTACCATTTAGACCGTCAATTTTTTCACACCAACTAATTAATATTTTATTAATGTTGAACATATGAGGACAATGATGAGGTCGCATACGGCATCAAATGGTAACACACACAAAACATTCAGGCAGATTAAGCAATTTCGCAGTTACCATTTGTATAAAACTAAATTCAGCTAAACTCAGCAAGATTCAGTTGAATTCAGCAATATATAATAGTTTTTTCAACACCAATTGGTACATAAATATCTTCTTTTTAGAATAATTTTTTTGTTAATAACAAATACATAACTACATTAAAACTAATTCAGATATCACAAAAATTGGGAGATTTGCAAAATCACACTTTTTCTATATCTTTTGCAAAATTACTCTCCTTTGTTGTCCATTTTCTATAATATTCATTTTCTATATATAAAATGACTAAATTCCAAATACTAAACCATACCCCCTAAAAACTATAACCTAAATATAAAAAAAATAAATTAGTTTAACATATTATAGTTGTGTAAAAGAGGGAAAAATTAAAAATTGCAAATTGAGGGTATTCTTGCAAAAATGAATTTAGGAATGTGCATTCGTAACAATTTGTCAAACAAAATCAGCAAATACCTGCAGTTATCATACACATATGTACAAATTCAGCCAGGTTCAGCAAAAATTCCTCGGTTACCATTTACACCCATATATTTCATCATATAAAATTATGAATACTTAATTCTAGTCCAATGATAGTTGGTTTTAGTGAGGTACTTCATTTCGTTTATAATTTTTAATCTAGTAATAAAATTTATCTAAATCTTCCAATATTATAGTATATTCAGTCAAGGAGAAACAATCACGAATATATTATTTTGTTGGCAAAGATCAACAATTACAAAGATCGGAGTCCACAGTTAATGCAAAGAAGAATTTATAGATGAGTTCATAATAAATCACTATCACATTCATCAAACCAAGCAAAGCAAAAACCACAACTAAAACCAAAGCAAAAACCAAAACTCTTGTCATTTCCTCCTCATGGTTATCATAAGCATTGAAGTGTAATAACATAATCTCTTGGTGCTTCATTAAGATCATCATTTGTTTCTGCATCTGCATTAACATCTTTTGATTTTGTTGCACCAAAGATGACACTTCTCTTTCTCTTTTTATCGATTCAACGAGTACAATAATTCAACATTTCTTTGAAAACCTTCTTCCACGTCAACAATATGGATTATGATCGATTCTTCCAAAGACTCTTGGTGCAGTCTCATATTGTATTCATGAAGAAGCACGCAATCGATAAGGACACTAATAAAAAGTATCTGCAACATCCATCAAGACTCTATAAAATCTTGGAGGCAAAGAGGAAATAATCTTCTTCACCACCACTTTATCTTCCACCTTCCACCCAAAAGACTTCATAAGAAACACAAGCTCCACTACTTTCCCTGTAAATTTATGAATCATGTATGCATCGCTCATTGTCATATTCTCGTATTCATTCTTGAGATCAAGAAGCTTTTTAGCTTAAAATATAGGACCACCTACTCATCTCACTATCAAAAGATCCCATGATTCTTTCGATGATGTAGCATAAGCTATCAAGGAAAATGTGTGTGAGCATCTTTCCATTCCATCCATTGTCTCCATCAGATTGAATAGTTATCAGCGGCCGCATCAGATGATAATGCATCATAACTTACTCCTTCGAATTCACGAGATGTCGATTAAGTTAAATACAACGGTCCTTGCTGATGAATTCCCATCTCCACAACATCCTATTGATTTAAAACCTTGAGAAGGGTTTTTTATCTGTACACTAATAATCATAGTTTTTTCCATCAAATACAAGAACATAATCCATCGATCCGATAATGATTCTTGATTCAGCTAGAACAATGATCTCTAAAATAAAATCTTCAACTAGCAACGTGAATCAAATATTAATTAGGAGGATTGTATTTCTTTTTGTATGAAGAGGTTTGGTATTATTTATAAAAAAAATATACATGGATAGACTATACCAATTTCTAATAATATAATTAACTACAAGATAAATGTAACTATAAGTGAAGATTTATCATAAGTATGATAATATATATACAAAAATAAATATTTTATCTTCATTGGTTTTCGTAGTTAAGAATAATATCTTATATATTATGACCAGCTTTTTTCCAACTTTTCTTAACAATTCATTAGTTGGCGCTTAATATTTGTGACATGTGTCATTTTCATTAATTATTAGTTTGACATTTTTAAATTCTTTTATATTAATCCATTTTTTTTAAATGATTCACAATCTCTTATTATTCAGTCAATAATTTATAAGTTTCATTTCAAATCTAGTGTTATTCAAAATATCACAACTTTTCTTTCAAAAACTACCGAATGGGTTCTAGGAGACTTTTCTATCCTTTTTAGTTCCAAAATATGACCGACAAATCACACGTTAATAGGTGTTAGTTTGAAGGATTGAAAACATAGTGTATAAAACCAATTAAAAAGTGATCGTAAACCATATATGTGACTTGTCTCTTCTATACTTTCTCTCTCACTCTCAAATACATACGTGAAGAAGAAAAAAAGAGATCGTAAACCATATATGCGACTTTTCTCTATACTTTATTTCTTTCTCTCTCACTCCCAAATACATACGTTGCTCAATCAAGTTGATGTCGTCAATCCATTCGTGAATCAGAACTGATGCAAGATTGGAATCACTCCAAACTTTAGATCACTTGATGATCAAGAGATTCCAAGCTTAGCTTGCGGAAGGTGGAATTCACGAGCTGGGCAGAAGCACTCTCTCGTAAATCAGTGGGTGGTTCAGGGGATGGTTCAGGTGATTGACTCACTCAATCAGTGGGATAATCGACTCCCTCGATCAATGGACGAATGAAGGTTGTTGAATCACACAACAAACTTAATCCGCAGGTTTCTTAAGAACTAAGTGACTCACTCACAAAGAACTAAAGAAGAAGATTGACAAAGACTCAAACTTTGACAAGAAGAATACTTTCTATAACTTTATATTGATCAAGGGTGATTACAAATGAACAATCTAATGAGCTTATATAGGCTCAGCTACACGTCCTAATAATGTAAAACAAGAAACAAATCGCTCAAAATTAATTACACTTGTCGTTGGGACTTTATGAACCAAATCGGCAAAATAAGGCAAGTAGATAGATGCCTTGAGTCTTGAAAGCTTCGGTGCGAATCCATGACTCCTTGGGGTGTCTAGGTTCATTGTAGGAAGCTTCAAGACGTGCATAAGTGAATAATGAAGGATTTTTTGAAGCTTGATCTCCTTTTGCTTCATATATGGTAAGTAGTGACTCATTGGTTTCTTGTGTGGTAAGGTGTACCAAAGATTGTGTGGGACAAGTCTTATGTGGCCTAAAAGTTCTCCTAGTTTCCATATGCAGCTTTGGAACACGTCCTCATGAAGGTTTAGGAGAGTTTCCTTATCATGCTCCAAGTAGATCAATGGCCTTGATTCAAATGGTGGTTTAGACTTGGGTCTTCTCTTGCGCTGTTCTACATGGGCTGGGGCCTTGTGGTGAATCAAATGAGTGTGTGGACTCCCTTCATGGCTGATCCAAGTGTTAAAAGACTTCAAATCCTCACAGTTCGCAATCTGATGTAGTTCAGGCAGTTGGTCAGCGAGTAATTCAGGCAGTCGGTCAGCGAGTAGTTCAGCATGCTTGTCAGCGAGTAGTTCAGCATGCTTGTCCGCGAGTAGATCAGAATGTACATCAGCTATCATCTTTGAATCATATGGATGGTAAATGATTCCTTGATGACTTGGTGTTGCCTCATTAAAAACCTTTTTAGGTAAACCCATTGGGACAAACCGTAGATAAGGGAAAAAGAGTGCAACAGTCATATCCCAATAATAAGGTGATTTGACTTGCTGATTTTTGATCCCTCTTGAACTGTCGGACTTCTTATGGTTAATATCATGGTGAATAATTAACCCTTCACCTTGTACTTGATCAGAACTCCACTTAGACAAAGATTCTTTAAAAGTTTCCATGTAGACCGGTTTGGTGTGCTCTTGGGCTGATCTAGTTCTGATGTCCGCATCATACCCTCTCTCTTGAAAAAGTTTCGACCTCGAAACTGTACAATCTGCACCAAGAGAAAGCAAGTTAGCTTTCATGCGATTTTGAGAGTTCAATGTCTTACCTTGGTGTTGTTCTGTCTTCATGATGCATGGTGCATCTGGTGGCTCTCCTTTGAGCAAGAAAGTAAAGATCACTCAGTTTTGATCTAGTACAACGGTTGATGGTGTAACGTGTTTAGCTCCTTCTCGGATTTTTGCTTGAGCTTTGAAATCCGGTGGTTCCTCTTTGATTAAGAAAGAACTTGGGACTCTCCTAGTCTCCAATAAAGATGGTGTGATCACCAATGGTGCTGGTTTACTCTGGTTCCGATTTTGATTCAAGATTTTCTTCATCTCCGAATATTCGCCTTTATGGTCCTTACTCGTGCCTGCAATGTTATTGACACTTTTGGCAACGAACAAGTGCATTAATACAGTCATGGGACCAATATAATCATGTAAAACAAGGATGGGCTGAACCATTTCTTTTTCATAAAGTGTATCAATAAGTATGTCATAAAGTGAATCAACTAATTGATATGATTTAAAACAAGAAATTAGTTCTATAGGTTTATTTAAAAGACCTACGTTTTTATCACACTCTTTAGAGATTAAAAAGTTCATAATCACGTCATTCAAATTATTAGAAATAAATCGAAAGAAAGAGTTACTTACTTGACATGGTTCTTCGGTGAGTGTATCTTTCAAAATCAACAAGGTTGATTGATTTGATGACTAGTCCGGTGGTTCTTCTTGCATTTGAATGTTGTTGGTGCTAACTTCATCATCTTTAGTAGCTGGTAAACACATCTTAAGCTCTTGATTTAGATGCATGTTATAACTCTTTGCTAGTTTCTCTATTTGCTCCATATTCAATATCCTTTGGGATGTGGTCTCTCGCTCATCGTGATACTCTTCTATGGTACCTGTATCTTTCTTGACACTTAAGAATAAAATCAAGTGCATTATACTTGAAATATAATCATTTAATACAAAGTGTTTGAAACTACGATTAATCATTAAATTATTCCAATATCGAACAAGATCGTAGGTTTCACTTACTAGGATACCATTTAAGGTGTTTGGCATTATCTCAACCTTAATGAGTGTGATGTTTGAAGCAAGATCAGATGATGTTGAATATAGTTGTGCCTTCACACGTGCCTCAACAGTTGGTTGCTCACATGTCTTATTTTCGCAAACTTGTGATGCCGTTGTTTCCGAAAGTTTCTCCTTAAGGCTTATGTCATTCTCCACTTCCCTTGGAGTTGCTACATGGTTGCTAAATTCTGTAGCCTTGTCATCCATCATATGACTTAGACCTGCATCAATAACCTTTGGCAAAGACAAGTGCATTACTCTAGAATTGGAAATCTCTAAACTTGATTTCACTAGACAATCATTTGAGTTTGATGCATTGAAATTTAACTCAATTGATGTGATATCTTCTACTTTTCTTTCATGACAGGTTGCAGCAAAATGACCTCTCTTATGGCATCTATAACATGTCGGTGCATTTGATTTTAAAGAGTTAGAGGACTTACCTTGGTCGGGTTTATCTTGCGGCTTAAGTAAAGGTGTTGGAGTCGACACTTCCTTTTCACCTGTACCTTTCTCATTCTTCTTGGATGAAAGCAAGTGTATCACGTGGTCAACTTGTTGATAAACATTAAGCTTAGAAGTTGTGGTACTTACCTTGACGGGTGATATATCCGCATTTTGATTGGAACTAACACGTTAATGTGTTGTGTTCTCTCGACTTGGTTCCTTTGATGGGTAAGTGTTTTGACCTGGTTGGGATAGCATTTGAGGTGCATATCTCTCCCTCATAAGAAACTTTAGTTGCCCCCACGTTTTAAGTAATGGATCCTTGTACAATACTCTATCTTTTTTCTCTTGGTTCCACCAATGTTTTGCACTTCCCATGAGTTGTTCAAGACAATAGGTGAGTCTCTCTTCTTTGGGAATGGAACAGTACCTAAAGTACTTGTCCATGTTGATTTCCCATTGTAGATAATCTCTTTCATGTCCTGCAAATTCAAAACTTTCAGGTCCAAAATACTCATAACCATTGTCTAGAGATAACCTGAATTTTGTCTTCTTGGTTCGGGTGGGGTTGTTTAGCAACGGGTCTCTTCTAGCACCATGTTTCAGCTCGCCTCCTCCTAGCTTACTGGTCCTTCCGTCTCTCTCAGCTTGGGGATCACGCCTACCACTTGGATGTGGTTCAAACGAATGGATGATCCTTGAATCACTTTCTGTACTACTCGTGGGTTTGTATAGAAGTACTTGTCTCTTGATTTTGTTTGACGTGAGGCTGTAGGTTCTCGGGTGTTATAAGAGGTGATTATCGGTCTTCTCTTCATGCCTTAGAAGACGTCGATAATGGTAGTTCTTCGTTGTTGTTCTTTTATTCCCCATGTCTTCTTTTCGCTTAACATAATCATCTTTTCCTGAAAAAGACATAATTTGGGTCAATGGAGATTTTGAACCATGGCTGGAAAAATTATCATTAAATTTAATTCATGGTTTAGAATAGCCATTATTGTTGTTGTATGAGTCAGGCGGTTCTGGTTCTGGTGTTTCATGGCCTGGTTCATCTCTTGAATCAGAAGCTGAACTATCATCTCGTCGCCATGAGATTGTTCCATAGTTCTCTTCCTCATCCGACGTGACTTGATAGGGCTCTTCTCCTTGAAGTTCTTCATTTGAGTAAAACTCAATAAACTCCATATTTGCTATGGTATTCGTGATAGAAGAATCTTGCAAAAACAAAAGAAAGATGCATCAAAAAGTAAATCAACAAATAAGGAAAATACTTCAAAAAAATAGAAATGAATATATATATATATATATATATAATTTTTAAATAAATCCGAAAAATTCAAATAGCAAAAGGAATAATTTATTTTTTATTTTATTTTCTGGTTTTATAAAAATAAAATACGAAAATTAATTTAGAATAACAAAAAATATGATTTTTATGGCTATTCTTTTAGTAAATCCGAAATAGATAAGAAAATGAAGTAAAACAATTTTTTTTTTGTTAATGAAATACTGAAGCAAATAACAAGATTAAAGCAAGAAATAAAAATTTATTTGATTTTTTATATATAAAATAAAAATAATAAGAAAAACAGAAAAAACAAATATAGGTTGAAAAGATACAACCTTGGGGATATGAGCTTTTAAAGCTCTGATACCAGATGATACAAGATTGGAATCACTCCAAACTTTAGATCACTTGATGATCAAGAGATTCCAAGCTTAGCTTGCGCAAGGTGGAATTCACGAGCTGGCCAGAAGCACTCTCTCGTAAATCAGTGGGTGGTTCAGGGGATAGTTCAGGTGATTCACTCACTCAATCAGTGGGATAATTGACTCATTCGATCAATGGACGAATGAAGGTTGTTGAATCACACAACAAACTTCATCCGCAGGTTTCTTAAGAACTAAGTAACTCACTCACAAAGAACTAAAGAAGAAGATTGACAAAGACTCAAACTTTGACAAGAAGAAAACTTTCTATAACTTTATATTGATCAAGGGTGATTACAAATGAACAATCTAATGAGCTTATATAGGCTCAGCTACACGTCCTAATAATGTAAAACAAGAAACAAATAGCTCAAAATTAATTACACTTGCTGTTGGGACTTTATGAACCAAATCGGCAAAATAAGGCAAGTAGAGAGATGTCTTGAGTCTTGAAAGCTTGGGTGCGAATCCATGACTCCTTGGGGTGTCTAGGTTCATTGTAGGAAGCTTCAAGACGTGTATAAGTGAATAAGGAAGGATTCTTTAAAGCTTGATCTCCTTTTGCTTCATATATGGTAAGTAGTGACTCATCGGTTTCTTGTGTGGTAAGGTGTACCAAAGATTGCGTGGGACAAAAGTATTGTGTGGCCTAAAAGTTCTCCTAGATTCTATATGCAGCTTTGGAACACGTCCTCATGAAGGTTTAGGAGAGTTTCCTTATTATGCTCCAAGTAGATCAATGGCCTTGATTCAAATGGTGGTTTAGACTTGGGTCTTCTCTTGGGCTGTTCTACATGGGTTGGGGCCTTGTGGTGAATCAAATGAGTGTGTGGACTCCCTTTATGGCTGATCCAAGTGTTAATTGACTTCAAATCCTCACAGTTCGCAATCTGATGTAGTTCAGGCAGTTGGTCAGCGAGTAATTCAGGCAGTCGGTTAGCGAGTAACTCAGCATGCTTGTCAGCGAGTAGTTCAACATGCTTGTCCGCGAGTAGATCAGAATGTACATCAGCTATCATCTTTGAATCATATGGATGGTGAATGATTCCTTGATAACTTAGTGTTGCCTCATTAAAAACCTTCCTAAGGTAAACTCATTGGGACAAACCCTAGATAAGGGAAAAAGAGTGCAACAATCATATCCCAATAATAAGGTGATTTGACTTGCTGATTTTTTGATCCCTCTTGAACTGTCGGACTTCTTAGGATTGATATCATGGTGTATAATTAACCCTTCACCTTGTACTTGATCAGAACTCCACTTAGACAAAGACTCTCCAAAATTTTCCATGTAGACCGATTTGGTGTGCTGTTGGGCTGATCTAGTTCTGATGTCCGCATCAAGAACCTTTGCTGGTTGTGAAATATGCAAAACCGATATCTATGTAGAGATCAAGAGATGTCAAAAGGGTAATAGTTTCAGCCAAAACTCAGAAAACGCCGACGGAACACGAACTAGGCGGTGTTGGGTGATGTTGGGTTTGGGGTTTATCTGGATTACTTGAAATCCCTTTATGATGAGCTGATAGGGTACACCGTTCTTGTAATATTTGCTGTTATATGAATGGATACGCCAATCCTGAATCAGATTTTTGATTCGTTTTCATCTTGAGTCCAAATAAAACCAAGTTCAGTCGCACTATTTATAAAATTAGCAAAACCAATCCAGCAGTCTATAATACCGGCAACATAAGTGGTTGATATACATGAGCTGGGGATACTTTCATAGCAGCATTTGCAGTCACTATGGTAGACAAGCATGCCTCATGAGAAATTCCATTTGCTGGTAATAATATAAGACATTCTATCGTAAAACAATTTGAAATGCAAAATTAATTGGCTGCTATGTTTGGATCAAAAAATTCTCATATATGGGATTTTCCCCTTGTTTTGTAATTAAGGTTAGTTATTGGTGTATATATACTCACGACCTGTAACTTTCTTCTCCCCTAGTAAATTACTATCATATTTGAAAGTACGTATTCTTTTTTGTCAAAGTGAGTATTTCATATGGCTTTTTTTACTTTTATTTATTCTCACGTTATAGATCATGAAATTTATAAGAGATAAATGTTGATAGTTAGTTAACAAAAATACCAACAAAAGCAAGTTTATGCAAGTTGGAAATAAATTCATGGCCGGCCAGTTAATGAATAATTACTTGTTTAAGATCTGTAGATGGAATATTATCATAACTCATATGAATTGTTTGGTATACATTTTTTTTGTATTGTATGGCTAGTTATCTGTCACAATACAATTATTCACAACCTGTGAAAGCTAAAGGTCAATATAATTAGTGTTTTGAACATGAAAGCATGATGCCAAACAGTTAGTGCTTCTGCTAGTGGATGCAATTAATCAGGGTTTTTGCAATGGCAAATTCAGCAAATTAATTGTCGAGACAAGAGTATTAGCAATTCTAAACCAAAATCTTGGAACTAACAAAACCCATAAGGAGTATAAAAATAGGTTGAAATTGTTGTAGGGTAAGTAACTAGACTTAGGAGATCTTTTTCGTTGTAGTTCTTTTTTTGGGTGGGACCCTGAAACAAAGAAATTCACTGCTACAGGTGATGTATTGGATGTCTTCGTGAAGGTAACCAAAATTACAAAATATTTTTTTTGAATATTGTATTGTTGCTTATATGTATCATAATTACTAAAATGTTTTTTAATTTTAAAATAGGCTCATTCATCTAAGTTACATCTGCATGATGACTCATTTGAAGATTTTGGAGATTTACAAATGATATTAGAATCAAATATTGCAACTGGAAGGAATGTTGTTGGAATAAGCGATGCCATTGATGCAGATACATATTAAGTTGAAGACAACGAAGGGACAAATAATTCAAGTCGTGTCCAAATAATGGAAGATGAGGAAATTGTGTATGAAGAAACATATGTTCAAGAAGGTTTCTCTGCATTAAGAAACATATGCTTATTGCTGATCGCAAGGGATTGATCATAAGAAACCTTTGTAAACCATGAGAATAAAGTTCAATGCATCAACAGATATTGAAGATGGGATTTTATTTTCTATTATTTAATAGTTTTTAATATTGATTTAGTACTAGTTTTTGAGCTTTTTTGTA